GTGTTAGTGATCTTACTGAAATGCATTCCAAATACCAGATCAGCAAGGTGTTTTATGGCTACCAGGATCACCCGGATAATTGGTATTGGATTTGATGTTAATGATGCTGCCAGAGGATGAATTTGAGCATTAGGTCCGGTATGTCGACCCAGCCTAACAAGGAACTACTAGGATTTCCCGGAAAATCGGTGCGGGAATCAGATAATAATGATGTTATTGGGGCAAAAATATGCACGCTGGGAACGGTTGTGCCCAGACAGGCCTTTCGAGTCTAAACTGGTAATAGTAGTGTTTCTCGGGTGCGTTCAGGTACATACTATTGTCATGCTCGCCAGACCTTTTTGGCCTAATTAAGACGATTAAGATTGATAAGCAAAAGCGGTCGTGAAAATCTTTCCGTTGTTCTCGATCCCGTCCTGTCCATCAATTCCGACCAGAAAATCAGTCCAGGAATTTGTTGTGAAAAGGTTTGGCATAGCTGTGCTCCGTGCCTGGATACACCCAGTTTCCTAGTTTTAGCCACCATTTCGTGAAAACATAACGGTTTTCAAAATTTCTTCTAGAATTTAACGCAGCTTCATTTGTTAGTCTTTGTTCTGCAAAAATACATGCTGAAAATAATCGCTCAAAGCAATTTTTCAAGTTGTTTTTTGCATTTTTAATGGAAGGCGCAACTGCATTCAGGATAAAAGGATTCTTCCGCAACATGATGTTATATTATTTTTCTGCGCACTGAGATTTACTGCCTCCCGCTAATTGGAAAACCGGAGCAAACAAGGACCGTTCTGATGGATGGAGAGCCAGCAACAAAATCGACAAATCGTGATCTGGCGAAGCTGGACGAGCACGAGAAAACGATGATCCGACGAAGTTGGAACGAGCTGATGCGGGATGTGGAGAAAAGCGCACTGGAAATTTTCCAGATGATTTTTGAAAGAGCACCGGAAGCGAAAGAGGTTAGTGATGAAATTAGCATGAAATCGTCTAATAGCAGATAGAGTTTTCTGAAGAAATCAAGGATGGATTTGTAGTGATGCGAGTCGTTTGTTTGGGAGAGATTATGAGGCCGAAAAAGTTTTTTTGAGCTCGAGACGAACCACCGCTTAACTCAACTTTAGGCATAAATTTTTCTCTTTAAGAAAGAGACAAAAATGTTGCAATTATTTTTCACATTTTAAGTCAGCATTTTAGTTGTGAAAATTGCAATCATTTTAACTCTGTTACTTCGATTAGCTTTTTTTTTATCGTCACGTTTCTTTTCGCACTAGCAACTGATGTGACACACCAACAACTCCATTTTTCTCTGTTTCGGGCTTCTCTCATCCGCTGAAACAAATTTTGGTACATTTGACGAGGTAAAATAAAAACTCTGATCAATAAGTAATTATGCAAACTATCCTGCAGCTCTATGAATCGCTAATCTGCAGTTGGAGAAGTAGAAATGAGAAAAAGATCAATTCACAGCTCGTACTCATGTTAATCTGAAAGCGGCGCGAAATAAGAAATTGGATTTCTGTAACATCGACCTAGCAAGTTGCCAATAGAGCCGAATCCGTCACAACAGATTCGTGATATCTTAGCCGACAAATGTTACATGAATTTAGCTATTTTTTTAATAAAAATTATAGATAAATTTTAGCTTTTCCCTTTTATGCAATCATCGCCGAAGAAACGCACCGAAGCTCTGAAATTTCATTCACTGCGATTCATGCAAGTAAGTTTTTTTTTTTTTTAATTTTCTCTATCTTCAAATATGATACAGCATTTTTTGGCCTATTTTCTTATCCAGATCGACGATAAACTGGTACTGACTTATGCCAGCGCCGATGCTCGACTTCGTGCTCCATCGGTTCTGCTTTATTCTTAAATAAAGTTCGTCTTATTTGGGAACAGGTTCATCCGGAAAGACGGGCATTACACGTTTGTAAATAGGTTACCCTTTTTCTTGATAACTTAGACAGAATAAAGAAAATTTATAGCCTTCTAAAAATTTATAGTGAATTTCTAATTTTTGGCGGCAGAGATAATACATAAAATTGAAATCACACAAGTAATGTAATATGTGGAAATGTATATAATGTAATTATTAGTGGATTGCATGTACGTTTCACAGCATCGTCGATGTCCTCAAATTTTCAAATCGGAAAGACTGACTGTGACTTCCTCTTCAGTATACTTGTGCTGGAAGCCATGACATGCAAATATCACGCCTCAGTTATTTGCAGGCACTCGAAAGTATCGTGCGGGTACTGGATTCTCCGTCAGAAATTGATCCTTTATTGCAAAATCTTGGTCGAATTCATGCTAAAGTACAGGTATTTAATTGACTTTTTGAACTAGGGACATTTGATGCTAAAATTTACTTTTAT